AAATGTAGCCTCGCCCAGGGTAACCCGCGCAGGCAAGTGACCCTTTTTACCCGGGACAAGTTTTCTCCAGATAAACGGGGCCTTAGATAGCAGGCACCTTCTTTGACCATGCCAGAGGACTTACCTGCAGCGAGTCACACTTCTCTATCAACAGACGTTCATTTCCACTTTCGATAGCTTCCAAAAGCCCTAGTGAATGATCTAAACATTCTTGAATCACTTTCACTTGACAAGACTGGTCTTGTTCTGAGGAAATAATATTTGCTCTGAGGCCAAAAAACAGCAGAAGGAAAAATCGTAAATATACCATCTTCCTCTTTGACCAATTTCACCTTTGCACTTCGTCACCTTTAAATGAAAAATGGTCACGCGCTTCTAAAAGTTGTTATTTAAGTGTTTTCTTCAAAGCATAAATAAATGATGACGTAAGAGATTGAATCAATGAAATGAAATCAGTTTTAAACATTTTCTTTTTTTAAATTTTTTTTATAAGTACCTTCAGGCTGTAGTTAACCAACATTTTAAGAACATAAACAGGCTTTATTTTGTTTATTTCTTTTATCGTCTTAATGTTTCAACATTACTGGAGCACGATCCAAAAAGGGCAGCCGGCCACGCCGTGATCTTGCCACTGACCACGAAAATGCGCGTGTCCAAAAGAGGTGTAATTATATTAATTTTGCACGCTGATATCTTCGCTCTGTTTTGTTATTTCCTCTGTATGAGTTGTTTTCTCTTAATATCAAGAATTGGGCGTTTAAACTGTGAAAATACCAATATGCAAGTAAAAAATACAATGGACTTTCCACTGACGTTTACAATAGCTTCCAACTGGATATTCTGCTCTTATTAAGTTTCTACAGTTACAGCAGTTACTACTAAACACCCATCACTTCGACTGTCATTATTTCACCTTCATTATATGCCATGATATTATTTGACACTATGTCCAGGTCTTTTATAGTGATTTTAGGTGAAATAGATAGTATAGACTACTAAGCTGTATTAGTCCAATTTCATTGTTTTCTTTTGCTTATTAAAAGCTACATTGGCAATAATTGTCAGGGGTTGTTTACATGACACCGGGGCGACTTTCGCGCTGGCGTTATTTTCACCTCGGTTCTTGCACTCAAGCGAGAATTTCACTCCAGTGTCATGTAAACGCGAAGTAACCATTTCCCTTGGATGTGAAATCGGCCTCCCGGTGGACCGGAACGGGTAGAGCATGCGCAGTTTTCGTCAATTCAGGATGGCGTCGTCATGTTGGTCATGGGACCACGAAAAAACATACAACATGAAAAAGCGATATGAAATCAAGAAGTTACTCCAGTATAGAAACTCTCGCCGGTGCGAGTTTCCTCGTGTAAACGCCAGCTTTTGTTAGATACTGTTTCACGGTTTATGTAAAATCACTCCTGACCAGTTGGTGTTCGGTTACGTGAGGAAAACATAAATACTACTAACCTCTTTTACTGATAAAAGTGCCAAAACGCTTGCCGACTCCAAACTACATACATTACCCTACAGAACGTGGGAAACCGTTAACATGAGAAACAAAACGATAGCTCGGCAGTAGACGCTGGGTGACGGGGTATATGAAGAATATCTGCTTTTGGTATATAGCTGGAAATTTTTTCCCAACGGCGCGCGCTCTCATTGGTTACTTCGAGTTCACATGACATCTAACAATGAAACTGTTTCCCGTTCGAGAGAAATTCTGCCTTCTGCTAGGCAAAGCAACACGACGAAGAAAAATTGTAAGCGGAGTATGTTCGTCTTCCAACAATTTCACTTCTAAACTTCGTTAGCAGTAAAACGAATGGCCAGCCCCTTCTATAATAGTTTGTTCAAGTATTCCCTTCAAAACATGGATAAGTGATGAGTCCATGATTGAATCAGTGACATCAGGGCTGCCTTCACACACTTAATTCTTTACCTATTAATTACTTGCGTGGATATTTTGACTCGCCTGTTTTACCAAATCCACATTTATACCCAGTATCAATTTAGTACGTTCATTGATAATTCGTTTTAAAATAGGGGCCCGCGCCTTGGCGGTATACCTCCCAGCCTTTTTGTACAACACGAACGCTAGATCCTCACTTTTGAAATTTGTGTTTTTGCAGGGATATCTATTCATTATGTAAACACCAATGAAATACCAAGTGACCTTTCGCGCGAAAACTTGATATCTTCACATGTGAACATAACTTGTTTAATTTGTTCAAAGCTTGCGAGGGGGTGGAATCCTCCAAATCCTCAAATCTGATTGGTTCCGAGAGCGGGCAGTTTTTTACGATCTTGCCCGCTAACCCGGGCGGAATCGTTGGCAGCTTCATTCACAAGTTTGTTTGTTGTTGTGAATGAGCAAAACCGGTGATTCAGAACCATTTTTCTTTTAAAACTTGCGCTATTATTAGCGTTAGCTAGAGAAAAGTGAATTTTGTTATTCAGACAAAACATCTGAAGGGAGAATCAAGCAAGCCAGCCAGGAAAACCGCTACAGTAAAGCAAAACAGGCGGCTTACGCTGTAAGTACCTGAAGTACTACAATCTTGCTTTTATGCACCGTTTATTGGACATTTTTGCTCGGTTTGAAGGTTTGTTTTCCATTTTTGCTCTCTGAATTTAGGTTCTGCCGTTTTTCATTGAATTTTGCCTCGCTAGTTTTCTACTTTTCAGAAAATGTTGTTGTCAACGATCGCATGTAGCTTTCAGTCTTGAATAAACAACACGAACAACTTTTCAAGCAGTCGGTTATCGCCGTTTTTATTTCTTTGTTTATATACTTGTTTAGTTACCCACATCGCCTTCTTTTATTCGAATTCACTTCTTTATTCTAAAAGAGAGCTTAATTGTGATAATATAAATTACAAGTTATATAAAAATCATGTTGTAATAATTTGTTTTGGTTTGCAATCTATCGCACGCTTTGAATAACATCAACACGAACGCGCCCTTCTTCAACACACATAGGTTGGAGGCTGAAGCAAAATTTTCCTGAAACTTTTAAATTTCAGTAGGAAAAAAATACAAATGTTATTCACCGGCCTATGTTGGTCCGTATTGGGAGAAACTGTGCCCTCGGTCTGAGTACCGCCCGAGGCCGTAGGCCGAGGGCGGTACTCAAGATCTCGGGCACAGTTTCTCCCAATACGGACCTCCCAGCCGGTGAATAACATACATATATCTTCACATGTGAAAATATCACCATTGCTATGGCTTCATAATAAACTGCACCTTTCAGACCAAAAAACTATTTAAGTAAAATGGTTTGGCATTTCATTGGTGTTTATATAATAAATAGAACATTACATGGTCGCTTGAAGATACGAAATTTCTCTTCTCGTGTTGAAAAAAAACTTTCACTCGTTCGCGCATATTTTTCAACACTCGAAGAGAAGTTTCGTATCTCCGCGCGGCTATGTAATATCCTCTATTTATGAAATGCTTTAGCTTTTGAATTAAAATTGTAATCCAAAATAAATTCTTTTAAATTGTAGTATTTTTTCTATGAAAATTTAGTGTTGTCCTAAGTTTGTTCATAACAATCTTCATACTTACTCCTGTTGTTAAGGTAAAATGAGCGGTTTGGCCAGATGTTGTTGTTAAATTTTATTTCGTTATACTGATGTCAACATTGTTGTTTTCACTGTCCGTCTCAGCACTTCAGAAACTACATACTGTTGAAGGAATACATTTTCTGACCAGTACTGTCGGTGAGTTTGAGGATCGACAAAGGTCAAAAGTAGTCATTTCGTTATTAAAGAAATAATACACCGTTAAAAGACAAAAAATGGAAAGAAAAGGTTCAAAAGAATGCTCAGCTTTCTTTTTGTGGAGGAAGGGAAGCTTTTCATCAAGAAATCGTCTTTCGAAGAGTTCAACCTTGTTTTCTTCTCGACGTAGCGCATAGCCTTGAAATGCAGAACCCTTGTCTTGAAACATCTGCATGGTGATCGCGCGGTAGCCATTTGTTGAAAATGGATATCTGTCACTAAGGTTTCCAAATATGGTAAAAGTGAATATTCACGAGCATTGAACGGGAGTTACGTTTCAACCTCTTATGAGTTTCTGCTTTTATTTATTAACTTCTCTAATAATTCACCAAAAGAAGGCAGAACGGAGATGATTCTATACACTGTAATTACAAAACTCTTCCTTTTTGTTAGCTTTAAATACTGAAGTAAGCAGTGCAACTTAAAGGTCACTTTGAACATAGTTATTAGAGGAGACTGGTTATGAAAAGCGGCAAACATCAATGACAGAAACGACAGTGCTGCAGTTTATGTTGGAAGTACCGTGAAAGTGCACAATCCTTTGTTTTCTGTTGGCAAATTGTTACGGAATAAATTAATGCAACGTTTTTATTGGTCAATACAATCAAAATGATAGGAATTCTTTTGAACGTTGTGCACTTTCAGGTCCCCAAAAACATATGACAAAGGAGTCTGACGGGTTTCATAGCCATTCCACTCAATTAACTATGCTTTGAATAATACCAGAAAGGAAGACTGGTTAAATATGTATGTTAGTGGTTGAACTATATACTTTAATTCAGTTCATATTTCCTTGTTGCCAAAGTTCTTTTTGTGGGAAAAACAGGAAAAAAGCTTGTCACAAGTGTCTTATCAAGTCCTCAAGGGGCAGTATCACGGCTGTCAAGACTGTCTATTGTGCTTTCTTCTGTGCTATGGAACTCGACGTTAACAAGGAACTTATTTCTACGCGACAAAATCACAGGTTCTTGTCCAACAATTATACTTCCCAACAAATGACAGAAATGAATTTTTAGAAACTATAAGGCTAGCAAGTTTTCAAAAACCCACAATAACAACAAAAAATAAGATAGTTTAGCCCGCAAATAGCACAAGCTATTGAGGCGGGAAAAAAAAAGCCAAACACTAATAGTGTAATAATTGTAGAAATTGGCAAAACCACGTAAAATACATGCTGAATTGTCGCGGTTGTAACATTTTACATTACCATTGATTTTAATCTCATTCCTCATACAGAACTTTTACGTCTCCAGGTAAGTGGTCCACATCAAGATATTCCCAAGGATAGTATCCAGTCTCAACCATAAAATCGCTAACATGTGATAAACCTGTTTTACTACCTCTGTTGTTTTTTTTCCATTCCACCCAAAGTTTGTCGAGAAAGCTATGGAGAAGCCAAAATTCGGGACTGTATGGAGCAGTCTTAAAATCGGCCAAAGTGGCACCAACACATTGATGATAACTCGTATGGTAACCGTAAAAAATTGTATCTCTAAAGACAGTATAATTTGCTTCCGTGAGGAGCTTTTTTGCTTGTTCTGCATTTGGTAGATTGCAAGAGTAATTAAAATGTCTTTTTAAGCAATTTCCACCAGCAGACTGTGGTAAAGAGTATTCCCCCTTTCTAAACGGACCATCCATCACGCAATCGAAAGGAGAGACTCCATTACCTCCCAGACCGTGAGGACCTGGATTCCATGTATCCTCAATCTTAGTGCCTCGTGTCCAAATCGCCGCATCTTTAATCCAATCCCGGTAAGGAATTGTAACCCGGCAGTCGATCTGGCGAAGAAGATTTTCTATTTCCAGGACATACCATCTGTGCCAGGGGAAAAAGTTTTTCATTTGTGGTACTACTGTATGCAGTTTACCTAATTTCTCATAGTCCCTTATGTATCTTGGATCAGATGAAAGAAGTTTGAAAGCTTTTATGAAACGTATTCGTTCTTCAAAGCTCATTCTGGTAAACTCTTTTCGCACTCGGTAGCAAGAAACTAGTTTTCCACTTTTACATTCGCATTTCCTCTCACAGATGTCTCTAACGGTTTTGTTGTCTTCGCACGTCATTCTAAAACCTATGAGAAAGAATTCAACAGTCACAAGAGCAACTTAACATTTACCGGCTGGGAAAACTGGAAAAACGAGTTGGAAAATCAAATGGTTTGCGCCTATTCTGTTTGGGTAGCTTCAGAAAAAAATGGGCTGTGACTGAAGAGGATGCAATTTTTCTAGCCTTTTCAGTCTGTTCAGAAGATTTGGATACACACTGTAGCCCCACCACGTGAAATTTTACCGTTTTCACTGCGGGTCAGCTGTCATCAAAAAGTGATCTCTTTCAAACGAGTTTTTCAATTTTTAGCCGTTTGAGCTGAGACCTTGCACGATAAGAGACCTTTGTATTCCCAACAATCGCATGTTTTTCGATTTTTGATTTTAACGGTCTTTGGCGCAAAAATGACTTCATAAGACTGACAGTAAAAAATAACTTTAAACTTATGCCATAAAAGGCTAGCAATATTGAAAGAGTACCCAGAGAAGTACTTAAATGTGAAAAAAGGTTTTGAAAGCAAAGATACCACATTCTAAAGATCAACAAGTTTCTAAAAATAGTAACAAAATGGCGGAAAATACGAAATTCACAGCTCAATAACTTTTCAACTAGGTAAAAATGCGTTCCTCCATACTAATTAAGTGCCTTCCTCCCATGTAATGAGCGTCTCTCTACTACAATAGGCACAATACTGGGTTGCCTAGACTTGCCCGGTCTCTTTTAACCCTGATTGGCTTATGTAGAATCTTTTATGTGTTCAAAATAAAAGCGGGCAGTTTTTGAAAGCGCTATCTTTCTTGCAATCGCTTTGCTAGGAAACAGTTTGTTCGAGTTCGCTTGTTTGAGGAAACGTTTATTCACTTTTTATCACCATGGCCTTCGTTACGGATGTTCGCGAATTTCAAGCTCTTTTGGACGCTTGTTCCTCGACCCGCGAATGGGAAATATTCTGTTTAGCGCTAAACATCTAATATATAAATAAAACACACACACATACACAAAGTGGAGCCGAAAACTCTCTATTTCAATTTTTTTTGACTATTACAAAATCGTTTCCTCCTATCTATCTGGAAGAAATGAAGGTAGTTATGCGAGTTCACAAATCCACCGTTGCATACAAATTAGTTGATCTCTACAGTAAAGGAGCACCTTGACACGCGACTAATAATTGCTGGCAATAAATTCAGACACGAGATATCGTTTTAAAAACTTTTTTTTAAAAACAATGACAAAAAGAGTCAAATACACAGCAATTTGAAAGGAATCTATTAAAATAGTCAAAGAAGCAAGCTGTCTTTTTTAACACTACGTTTTCCGCCTCAATGTTTTTATTCCCTTCTTAATCTTTCCCCACCTCCTCCTCATTCTTGAATTCCCTCCTCCTCAATTCTATTATTTTCCGTCCTCATTCTGTTTTATTTTTCCCCTCCACTACAATCTTTTTATTTTCCCTCCTAAATCTTGATTTTCCGCCTCCTCCATAATTTTCTTATTTTTCCTCCTTCTCCACCACAAATACGTTGACCTCATATCGACCCTACATCGACCCTAGACTCAACTTTTTTTCAACAAAGGCTTCGTGAATAGAGGAACTATATAAAACCACCACAAAATTTCTATTGTTTTCTCTCCACCACCACCACCACATTTCTATTGTTTTCCCTCTACCACCATCACCACATTTTTATTGTTTTCCTCCACCACCATCGCATTACTCTTGTTTCCCTACATCACCACCACATTTCTATTGTTTTCCCTCCTCATCCACCTCCACCACCTCCTCTTCCTTCTCATTACTATTTGAGTGTGGCCTTCTAGGCTTTATCTTGGCCTCTTTGGCCTTTTCGAGGGAAAACAATAGAAATGAGGAAGAGGAGGTGGAGGGGGATGATGATGAGGAAAACAATAGAAACGTGGTGGTGGAGGGAAAAATAGTAAGTGCTGGTGGTGGTGGTGGAGGGAAACAATAGTAATGTGGAGGTGGTGGTGGTGGAGGGAAAACAATAGCAATATGGCGGTGGTGGTGGTGAAGGGGAAAATAGCGATAGCTAGTGATGTGCTGGTGGTGGTGGTGGTGGCGGGAAAACAATAGAAACATGGTGGTAGTGGTGGTGGTGGAGTGAAAAATAGTAATGTGCTGGTGGTGATGGTGGTGGCGGGAAAACAAAAGAAATGTGGTGGTGGTGGTGATGGTGGTGGCGAGAAAACAAAAGAATATGGTGGTGGTGGTGGTGGTGGAGGGAAAACAATAGAAATGTGGTGGTGGTTCTATATAATTTCTCTATTCACGAAGTTGTGTTGAAAAAAGTTGAGTCTAGGGTCGACGTAGGGTCGATGTAGGGTCAATATGAGGTCAATGTATTTGTGGATGGAAAAATATATAGAATAAATGAGGAGGTGGAGAAGGAGGGAAAATAATAAAATTGTTGAGGAGGCGGAAAATCAAGATTGAGGAGGATTTGTGAAGGAGGGAATAATAACGTTGAGGCGGGAAACGTAATGTAAAAAAAAGATAGCTTGCTTTCTTTGACTATTTTAATAGGTTCCTTTCAAATCGCTGTGTATTTGACTCTTTTTGTCATTGTTTTTTAATAGAGTTTTTAAAACGATATCTCGTGTCTGAATTTATTGCTAGCAATTATTAGTTGCGCGTTTTAATTGATCGTTGTTAAGTTCCTAATTGTTTTTATAATAACAAGTTAAGGTACTCCCTTGGGGTTTTTACTGTAGAGCTGAACTAATTTGTATGCAACGGTGGGTTTGTGAACTCGTATAACTACCCTTATTTTCTCCAGATAGATAGGAGGCAACGGTTTTGTAATAGTCAGACAAAATTGAAATAGAGAGTTTTCGGCTCCACTGTGTGTATGTGTGTGTGGGTTTTGTTTAGACATCCGATGTTTAGCGTTAAATAGAACGTTTCCCATTCGCGGGTCGAGGAAGAAGCGTCCAAAAGAGCTTGAAATTCACGAACACCCGTAACGAAAACCATGGCGATAAAAAAGTGAATAAAAGTTTTCTCAAACAAGCGAACTCGAACAAATTGTTTCCTAGCAAGCGATTGCAAGAAAGATAGCGCTTTCAAAAACTGCCGGCTTTTATTTTGAACACATAATAGACTCTACATGAGCCAATCAGGGTTAAAAGAGACCGAGCAAGTCCAGGCAAACCTATTGTACCAATATTGTAGTGGAGAGACGCTCATTACATATGGAGGAAGGCACTTTATTAATATGTAGGGACACATTTTTACCTAGCTAGCTAGATACTGACTAGGCACATAATTAATATGCAGGAAGGCACTAAATTAGTATGCAGGAAGACACTTATACATATTAATAAAGAGAAGGCATACAGAAGGCAAGGGAAGGCACCAAAACGGCGTAAAAATATAAGTGTAAGGAGGGTCCCTGTTTGATCTTCTCTCTGTGTTCGACGCCCCTTTTGCTGCCCCCACACAATTTTCTCAAGGACTTTTCCTCGCCTGGAAACTGATGTCTAGTTTGTCCCTCCCTTTATAGTTCGCCTTATCACCCTTCCCTGCTGGACGCTCTTCAAGAATGTAATAATCACTAAAGATAATTATTTACCCATTCGCCCCTGAGAATTTTGCGGCAAAACGCGTATTGAAGCTAGTCGAACCGTTTCCTGGTCACTCTCTGGCTATGGAGGGATAACACATACCACAAAGCCGTTTACAGGTGTCCACTTCCCGGCCCATCATCCAGATGCATATATTAGCTTGCGAAGTTTGGGCGTGCGCAGAAAGTTTTTGGGTCTAAAATGTTAAAGGTGTAAAAGTCAGTCCTGACTTTTTCTTTTCGCTTTCTCTCCTCCCCTCTTCTTTCGTTTTTCTGGCCTCATTTCCTTTCCTTTTGCTGGGCATTTAGTAGGCTTCATTTCGGTGGGAAAGTTTTAGTGGAGGAGGTTTTTGGCAAAGCGTTTAGGATCTTACGGTGGTTAGTGGAACAAGACTTACATGGGAATCTTCGAGCCAACTTTCCATGTAGCCTGAGAAAACAGCCGACATTTGGCGACGATACAACTGGTTTCCCAGCCAAATGACGTCTGAGAAACAAGCGCAGAAATTCCATACTGATGACGCGTCACTATCAAGATCTGGGTAATCTTCTGATTGGTCGTGCCACGTGGGAAATTTGATTCAACCAATCACAAGCACTACCCAGATCTTGGGAGTGACGCGTCGTCAGTCTGGAATCTCTGCGCTCGTTTATCAAACGTCATTTGGAGGGGAAACCAATGGAAGCGTCGCCAAATGTAAGCTGTTTTCTCTGGCCTCATTCCATGTTTTTTTTTTGCCTTTTTCTCCGGCTTCCTTCATTGAATCGTGCTCATTTTGGCATGGTTTGAAACATCTCTTCACCCTCCACAAGTTAGCAGACAAAGTCGTCCTTGACCGTTAAAACTGATGATGTCTCAAGCGGTAGAAGGAATTTGGATCTGCTCGGGTGGTTCAGGGGCGAATGGGTTAATGAAACAGGTCGGCTCACCCTCCACTAGTCTTAAGGAACTCTAATTTCTGGATGAATTCCGCCAGGCGAATTTTCGTTCTGGGCAAACGTAACTTAAAACAATGTATCAATGGCAATAAAAATTCAGGATTCGAACCTACCTTTATTGACAACACTTTTCAAGGTTTCGACGTCAAGATTAGGACATGCATGTGGGGATTTCTTGAGAGTAGTTGCGGCCGTCAACACAAGGTAGCGATAAAAATACGAGAGGTTTCCAAGCAGACGAGGAACGGAAAAGCAATCAATTGAGTTCTGCAAAAATAAGATTTTAAGTCATAACTTTAATCCCTCGGCCTTCCCATTCTGACTGAAGTAAGTAGCCTGGTATGTTTACATTTCTTGCAAAGTCCAATGTAAATACCTCTTATAAGCTGAGTATGATTTAGTTTTACCTTTCAGAGACAGAATGCAAATGCGCCATATTAAAAAGTATATTCGATCAAAACTAGGAGCACTGTAAGTTTTAGCTCGCCAATGCAACA